ATGATGCAATAATACAAGGTGGTATCAGTTGTGACAGCTCGATTTGACAATACCTTAGCTCAGTAGAATAAGAAGAAAAACGGGAAGAAAGTAATCCCCATTTGGAGGAAATATTTAAAATTTCATATTTTCTTCTAAACAACATTTGCTTTTTCATATTATATTCGCAATGAAATGAAATATTATAAGATAAAACAGATTTTTGAGTATTCAAAATGTGTATACTGAGAAAAAAAAATAAATTACACTATATTATTAGGCGAGAATTGTTTCAGAAGTAACACTGTTTCGCGTAAGCAGTCAATATGGCAGAATTAGAGGGAGAAGTTGCCAACCGATGACACCTTGTAATATTGCATCATGGGACAAATGCACTCCCTGAAGTCTGAGAAATTTTAGATGGGGCGAAATCTACAATTTCGAATGTGAGGAATTTATCGCATATAGTGGCGACATCTACAATCTCGAATGTGAAGAATTTTTCCACCATCTTGTGCTTCCGCCCAACNGGTACTCATCGTTCCGGCCAGGGTGCTTTCGGTAACATGTGTCGTGGTGGTCGTATGTTTGCCCCAACTAAGACTTTCCGTCGCTGGCACCGCAAGGTCAATGTCAACCAGCGCCGTTACGCTATTGTCTCGGCTATTGCTGCATCCGGAGTTCCAGCTCTTGTCCAATCTAAGGGCCACATCATCGACGGTGTTTCGGAATTCCCCTTAGTTGTGTCGGATGAAGTACAGAAGCTACAAAAAACCAAGCAAGCCGTTGTATTCTTGAGACGTATGAAAATCTGGGCAGACATCCAAAAAGTAAGTCAAGTTAAAACAACTAATGTGAAAGTGGCAGTATTCCGTGCAAATGCAAATGTAGCTAGTTAGTTTGTGTTCGCTGGACTTTTATTTATGTTAGTACTGCTACAGTAAATAGTTTTCATAGGCGTTCTGGCATAAGCAATAAATGCTTTTCAGTCGGGGTATTTGAAAAGAACATTTATTTAAAAGAAAAAATTTGCAACTTTGAATTAGGCCTATGTAGTATGTAACTCTTATTTTGTTAT